GTTTCCCTCCTTCCTAGGTGCCACCAATATCATCCCTTCCTCACCTTTCCCTCTCCATGCCTACGACATTTTTCTCATTTCCCCATTTTCCTATATCTTAACAGCCTCAGGAATGAAAAACATAAAATAGAGAAATACTGAATATGATAACAAAATTGAAGAAAAAGAAAAAAAAAACCCAAAGTTCTTTGGGAGGCTTATAAACCTACTGATTTGTAGTATGAAAAAAAAAAAAAAAAACACTTAAGGAGTTATTATAGTGGATCAGACCATGCAGCTCAGCACTCTGTCTCCAACGGTAGCCAGAAAGCAAGTACCAATGGAAGACTATATGAATATGAAAAATATATAGGATTCTTCTCCAGTTAATCTTTCCAGACTTCAAATGTTTATAGCTCAGGAAGAAAGTCTACTTGTCAAAAAGCTTCTTCTTTTTTTTTTTTTCCCCCTCATCAAATAAAGCATTTACTTATTTGTTGTTCTCTGATGAGACAGTGGCTGAGAGCTACTAGACACTGTGACAACAGATCATATAAAGCATGGGAAATGCTGGCCAACTCACAATCGGGAAGGCTAAGAGATACACAGAACTTCAAAAAGCCTGTTTTGTCATCCTCTCAGATACCTACCCATCAAATGTTTCCCTTGGGATTTCCCATCTTGTCCAAATATACCCAGCACCACAGAACTAGGTATGAGAAACATGTCCAGTTTTGGTCTGGTACACTGAATGTACAGCCTATCAATTTATGTTCAAAGCAATTCTTTCCATAAGACACATCACTTATTTGGCTAATTTATTTTAAAATTTACTTAATTTTCAGCAGGTATTTATTTTAAACTTGTTTTTAAAACAGTTTCTGAGTTGACAGGAGCTAGGTTTCAACAGCAACAATCAGGATTACTGGAATACACAACTAGAAGAGACACCAAGTTTGGAAGGGGAGCTTGTTTTGTCAAGCCTTTTTACTAGTGAAAATGTTTTTTGGCACTGTTACTGTAACAGCTACTTTGTTAATTAATCGCTTCCATGCCCTTCTTCCCTCACCCAAAATTTTTTTTTTTGAAGTTTCAGTATTTTTTTTTAAACCAGAAGTTACTTTTGCACAATGCCATCTCAAGCCACACATGCCAGCTGGCTGAAAGTCCCTTTGAATTCACACAATATTATCACTGAGTTTATGCTGCAATGGAGAACCTACATCACAGACAGGGGAAAGGCAGAGAGGTTCTCCATCCTGGAAGAACACGAGGAAGATAAAGAAAGCACAGATAAGGGAAAAGAACAAGCTGTATCAAGGTTCAGGGGAACACAGCCACAATAAAAGGCACCAAATGTCACAGTCAAGCAACAGTAAGTGGGTATCTAATACACACAGATGCGCCACTGTACATCTATAGCACATTGTACCATTTATTTTCTGACTTGCTGGGAACCAGGACAGACTTCAGAGCAAGAGGAGACAGAGTTCTTTGCAAGAGCTGGAGTAATACTGGTCCATTTTGAAGCTATTGACACAGAAGTAAACAGAAGAGCCTGGAAACAAGGTTTTTTCAATTAGGGAGAAAAAAAAAAAAAAAAAAACCCTACACAGAACAGTCTTCAAATAGCAGTAGCAATTATAGATAAGGACTTCTTGCATAAGAGAAGCTTATGCATGCATGTTAACTCATATATTCTTACTTCTTGCCTGTTAAACTCCCATGAGCTGTAACATCTTATCTGCACAAGGAATTTAAATTGGTCTGAAAAAAAGAAATTTTGTAGACATATCTATTTGAAAAGTTTCAAGCTAAATCAGCTTCCAGCCCATTTAGGCAAAAATAAACCCTTACCACAACACGCACAGGGCGGAGGAGCATTTTGTTAGAAAAAGAAAAGGATGGAAAAGGTTTTATTTCAGATTCACTTCCCAGGAGGAGAGGTAGAGACCTGAGAAGAGTCCTGTTCCTCTACAGGGGAAAAGTGAGGCACTAAGGACTCAAGTGGAAAGGCAGGATGGCTAGGGAGATTTCATTTACAGAGGAAGCCCAGATAGTAGCCAAGGATAAGTGTTTAAAACCGCTGATTTGCAGCTGGGGCAGGGGGATGCAGACAGTCATTCCATGAGGATTTTGCTCCCTCCCCAGCAGTCCAGGAGCTGCTCTGCCAGTAGGTCACTGCTACAGGGGTAACCTCTGCATTCCAGCACGCTCAAGGTGACCCTTTCGAGTGCCTGCTACCATGACCCACCTATCCAAGGCTGGCAAGAACAGCATGAGCTTGAAGATCCAACGCTGCCTTCTACGGGGACGTCAGCTGGCTCTGGATGCCGGCAGGACAGCCAAGGGCTGCGCGTCCTGCTGTCAGTGCCCATGTGCTCCCTTGCTCTGCTGACAGAAAGCTCAGGTTTCTGGCAGCAGGAGCTTAAGAGAAAGAGCTGAGAAGAGTATTATAGGTTTGAAGTAGAATTCCAGCAGTGCACTCATTGCACATTTTTCTGTTTTTAATTTTTCTTAATACCACAATATTTCCCCTTACGTGAAGTTTTCTATTAAAACTCATATGTTTTCATTAATATAGCCCACAAGTTAACTGCAGGACATTTTACTTCAGCAGCACTGAATGTACAAGTTTTGTCCTTTCTAATCTAATCTAAGCAGAATCCCAGTCCTCAGCATAGGAGAGCAGAACACTTTCCCCCTTTCTCCAGACAAGGAGCATTGTTTGGTCTAGCCAGGAAAGGAAGCTTTTTTCCCCTCCTTCTTCTGACAAGCAGTAGTCTTCCCCCGCAAGCATAAATATCTGATTTTTCTGCTTAATTTGATCAGAGGCAGAAGCAAGACAGCAACATAAGGGGAAGAAAAATCTTTGCCCTATAAATTTAGATTTTGTTATTACTACTATTATCCTAAGCACACAAAACATTAAGGTTAAAACAGGTAAGAAGAAAGCAGTAATGGAAGCAGCAATAACGGCAGCAGAATCAACCAAAGTTGCTCTTGGCTTAAAAAAAAAAAAAAAAAAAAAAAGATGAGACTAAGTTGACATGACAAAAATATTTGAAGAAGTACACAAAATAAAGTTAGGGAGGACCAAGATCATCAAATCCGAATGTTCAAACTTCTAAAATACCTAAGTGTGCCAATATCCTGCACCTAAGTTGGAAACTTTTGCCCACATCTAGCAGAAAGTTAAGTTTTAGAAAGCTTAAAGGCCCATTAGGGGCACTGTTAGAAGTGTCTTTGCATTGCTACTCTTTCCAGTTACTTGCATGACATTTGCAGGGTGTCGAAGCGCTTACGTGCAAGCTGTTTGGACACCTGTCTACTAGAGGAAGCAGGCTAGAGTTAAGATGCTAGGCTAAAAATCAAGAAGATGTAAATTTGGTTCTGCTTTTGTCCCAGAGTGCATAAGCAGAGAACATATGGGAATGTGAGATGGCCACAGTATCTTCAGACCCACCTCAGGTTCTGTTACAGCAGCACCTGCAGGGCTCTAGTAGCATTCGTGCAGAAACAATAAACGGATCTGTTTAGAGTAGGGACTGCATTTAAAACTTATAGCCTAGATAAAGGGGACAAGACACAAGCCAGGAGGGAAAAGCGTTTGTCACTCAAAGGTGCAGAGCACGTAGGTGCTAGAGTCAGGTCTGCTGCCTAGCTTCCACTGCCTGCACAGGACATGCTGCCCCCGTGAATATCACGAGACCCCCGTCAAAGATAAGACAAAGTCTGCAAAAACAAGTTAAACAAAATGTCAAGAACCACTCTGCTGGAAGCACTTTGCTGAAAGCCTTCCGAGATGGTTTCAATTTGTTTAGCAGACAGCTTTTAAGAAGGATTGCGGCTCAGCAGCTCGAGATACTCTCTTCAGCACCAAAGCATCTCACTGACATCTCTTGAAGCCCAAGTCTTCCTTAAAAGGAAATTACTTCTTCCTTAGCACAATCTCTCCAAGTTTATCCTGCTTGCTACCTCCACCATTGTCTTTCCTCCTTCTCAAATACAAAACCCTGCTTCTTTCCATCGACACAGTAACATTTCTTCAAATGAATAACAAATTACCTGCCCTTAACGGATGTCCCTTATTATAAAACTGTCAAGCCTTTACTCATCATGATATTCTGAACTGAAATGGAGAAGTGCTCCAACTTTTCCCCTCACTTCTTTTCCTAGGTAGACACCTACCTCTCTAGGGGTCTGTAATGCACACAGACTAGTGTTTAGTGAAGTTTTGTAGATCTTTTAGTACAAAGTGAGAGAGCATGTGGTTCCTCCTCAATGCTGCACGAGCTATTTTTGAGTTTCATTCTAAAAACAGCCACTGAAGTTTTTTAGACTAAGCTTCCCCTTCTGCCCTGTGCAGACAGTAAATGAGCTTTGGTTCCACTTGTACATCAGAGCTCAAAGATGACTACAAAAATACTGATTGAACAAAGATGAATTACTATGAAAACACCACCAATCATTAATGCCAAATGCTTGAAATGATTGACAGAAGAACAAACCAAAAAAAAAATCACTGGTTTTATCTATAAAGATGATAAAAAACTAGGCAGCTTAGCCCATCATCACATTTTTTTTTTTAAACTCACTTATCACTCCTGTGAGATACTACTGCTTGGTCTGGGCTTTACTTTGAAATCAGATAAAGTTTATGTGTAGATATGTTTGTGCTTAGATATGTTTGTAAACACTCGTCAGAATCTGGATGCCAGGAGCTCAAATTCAGTACAATTTGCAATTCACTACGCAGGAAGAGTTTTGCATCATTTGTAACAGAATTCAAACTTCTCTCTGTTACTCCAAGAGAATAAACCACCACTCTCCCACTAGGAACAAGAACAAAGAAAGCTCGCTCTGGATTCGTAACACTCATAGGGTTATGGCGTTAGGTATAGGCAATAGGGAGGGTTATTTTTATACACATTTTAAAAACTATAAAGCCTCATGGAAAAAAAAAGCAGAATGATGAGTTTCATATTTTAATCAGCATTGAAATAAAACCTTAATCTTACCGAGCAAAATAGCCTTGCCTTCGCTCCTTCTTCTCTTCCTTGGTCTCCATTCCGTACAGTTAGACGGGCAAGGTGGATGGCCAACCGTTACGCTCTTTTTCCCTTCAGTACCTCATATCCAGGCAGAGTCCCCTGTATATAACATTTTAAAAACAGGAAGTTCATAAATCAACATGTCAACAACACCTACACACTCTTACAGGGTGCTGGAAATGCAATTGACCCGGTGACAAAGCAAAGTAAAACTTTAACCAGTGAACGCCTACCGGGCGGTAGCACTGCAGGACAGAATAAGACAAGGGACAATAAATACACTCGAGCCAGTTTCTCCGGCAGAGAAAGAGGCATACATCACAGGAGATGATCCAAAACCCCCTAGCAAGTTTTAAAGCCCTGGGAGAATTAAAATCTTTCGCAAGTGTTAAGTTTATACCAAAGTTTCTACCAAAAGCCTCTTCCTGGTTCCACCTGCATCACTGATAAAAAGCAGGCTCAGAAACAACCAGCACAAACACTGAAACTACAAAAAAACATAATGTTCACTTGTAACAGTTTTTCTAAATAGTGAGAAATCACACATTTTTAAATATTGAAAAGGAATAATCTACATTCTGTGCACAGGTTTGATTTTTGTCAAATAGAGAAGCATTAAACAGAGAAGCAGAAACACGATGGACCAACCTCCTGCTTTCCCAGAGAAAAAGCAGAGTTGGGAGCAGTTGCTAGTAAGTTTAAAAAACACCCATAAGGAGACCTCAGTAAAAACATTTTTAGATGAGCACACAAAAATACTGGTACTTATTTGTTTAAGAAACCAAAACATTAGCAACTTTGTAGAATGCAGCACATTAGAAGGTGGGAGTTTCAGAAGCACATGGCAATTACCGCAATTAGAGCTGAGCCACCCTCCAATTACTCCAAATAACCCTACATCAAGATCATTTCACCCTCTTCCAGCCTCCGATATACATTCAAGCCACCTCAAGGGCCTATGCCCATGCACAAAGCAAGGTAACTTCTTGAGTGTTCCTCTTCAATAGAGGAACAGATTTAAGTTTAAACCAGAAGTTACTACCGAATATTTTAGTTTATAAGAAAGAAAGGGAAAGCCATACAAATGTCACACATAAAAAGCAGAAAAGTTACTCTTACAAGTAAAAGCATGTTGCAGTCCTCCTTGCAGGACAAATCTCCCTGATAGCAGGATAAGAACAGCATCAAAATGAAACCCTCTGTACAGACACCCAGCCTCTGCTTTGGCTCCCTCTCCTGCCCCCTCAGAACCTCAGAGGATCAAGCACCCTCGCTTTGCTCGTCCTCGCGTTGCACTTACAACGGACCATCCACAAGTTCAGCTACCACCTCTACAGCAACCTAGGGGAGGCCAAAGAAAGAGGAACCACCTCAGCGCGCGTCACCTCCCTGCAGTACGCGCCCTGCAGGCTGCCTGCACGATGGACCTCCCAACGCCGACACCAGG